GTGGCCAATAAATCACAGCAATCCTCAGAGAAATTAGAGAAAAACATTTAAATACAGTGAGATTCAAAAGAGAGAGAAATGGTGAGGGAGAACTTGCAAAGTGCTATAGGTGAATACCAACTTCATTTACCTTTGATCCCTTGTTCTAGGTGAATGAGTCTAGTGGAAACCACCATTGGAGAGAGCAGCTGGAGAGGCAGAGACAGATTGCTAAGGCTAGGTTTCAGTAGCAGCAAGTAGGTGAAGAGAGTTGGAAATAAAGAGGTCATGGACTGAGGTGAGCTTGTTACCGACAAAATGGGCATTTTAGAAGGCACACGTAAATGGGAGGTTGATTCTTGGAAGTAGGGCAATAGAAATTAGTTTATGGATCATGGCTGCTGCCAGTAAAATTAGGTTGCCAGGTGTGGGGGTAAAAGTTAGACACCAGACGGCCAAGATTAGGGGAAATATCCCTAGAAGTTAAGAGAAGCAAGAGAGTGAGGGAAGTAAGATGGGAGCAAAATAATATGCATGTACATGCCCTATTGTCCTGGAGGTTATATCAGTATATTTGGTTTGTAGGCTAAGTAAATAACCATAGACACTGTTGAATGCAAACATTTTTTTTTAAACACAGCTCAGCATAGCATGCACCTCTGGTTGGGAATACAAGTTGCCTGCACATCATTTCTTAGGACCAAGGAGCTGGTTTTGTATATCTAAAATCAATAAAAAGACCAAGATAACTCTTTAGTTCCATATTACATTTCTGCAGATAATGTTTCGCTGATGGCTGATAATGAGGATTTGAAGAGACAGAAGTTAAAAGATAGCTTGATGGTTAATGCAATAATATTATAGGGTTAACTCAGTACAATGTATGAGTTATTTTACATGTGTTCATCAAAATGTTCAGTTCACATGCATAAATATAATGAAGATTTGGAATAGTTTATTTTCATATAAAATATAGTAATTAGTGAAATCATTTGTTTCTTCTTCATTGGTATTTTTTGCTCAAGAAATATTATTCTTCTCCACCTTGAATTGCACAGTGTTCTTTTCTCCTCAATAGACACCACAAAGAACCTCACAATTTTTAAAAGTTAGCTAAATCCTGTTCAATAGTTTTTGTGAATTGAGTTTTACCTACATAGTAAAAGAAATACTGATCAACAATACTTAGGATGAAAGAATGAACATAGATAAGTGACGGAGAAAAAGACTGAGTGGTCCATCAAGTCTGCCTGGTTTTTTTTTGTGTGTTTTTTTTGTGTGTTTTTTTTTTTTTGGAAAGAAAATCTGAGCATGACAGTAAAGACCATAGATAGCACACTGTAAACAAAACTGTATATAGCTTCATAGAGATTAGGATTTTCCCAATAGCAAGGTATGGCTTAACCTATAAGTACTGTAAAATCTATAGTTTTGGGCCCTTGTCACACAGGTGTTCCAATCGAGTCAACCTGCTCATTTTTCAGGCAGACTTGATTGGAACCTCTATTCTCCTCTTTGGAGCGACAGGTGTCCATTTACATCTGCAGATATCCAATCCGACGGATGGGGATCCATTCCCCATTAGATCTGATTCAATGGCAGTCGGATGAAATTGGACAGGCGGTCTATTTCCATCCCACCATCCATAGAGGACAACAGGCTGTTTCTGTGTATGCTCTGCATAAGCACAGCAGACACAGGCCTGTCAACCGCTTTGTTCATCGGGGACCAGCAGACAGATCTCCCACTGAATAAGAGGATCCACTGACAGGTCCACCCCATGTGAAAGGTATGTAGCACCCTCCTAGTTAGGTGCTAGGATGTGTATAGTTAGGTTAAGCATAGCTGTGTTTCTCTGCTTACCAGAGAGGCTGTCAGGTAAATTCAGAGTGGTGTTCTGCTTATCAGAGTGCTGTGATTAATTAGTCAGGTCTGCTCATTCTGCTAAGGTGCTGTTGGAGTTGGTCTGCCCAGCTTCAGGAAGCTATGAGGGCCTTCCAGAACATGGGTAGGGGGGTAGGGGCTAGGAAAGGAACAGCATGCATATGGATACAGCCCTGGGCTATTGCAGGGGAAGGCAGTCCCATTGCATGCTGGGAGTGGTATTTATGTTCTGAGAGCACATGGGTTTAGTATCTTTCCTGGAAGTGGACTGCACTTGCCAGGCTGGAGGCAGGCTGCCTTGCCTGGCACATGCTGCATGTGGCCTCAGGTGGGTTGACCTGAGGGCCTGAAGTTAGAAAAAGTGACCCTGGTTTTGCAGGAATCTGACTGAGAGGAGTTGTCTGCCAAAGTTCTCTCTGGTACATAGTTACATAGTTAGTCTGGCTGAAAAAAGACAAAAGTCCATCCAGTTCAACCATAAAAAAAAGTTATAATTCTACACCCACAGTTGATCCACATGAAGACAAAAAAACCCAGCAAAGCATGATCCAATTTGCTCCTGCAGAGAAAAAAAAAACTTCCTGATCCCCCTAGAGGCAATCGGATATTCCCTGGATCAACTTTACCTATAAATAGTAACCAGTTATATTCTGCGCATCCAAGAAAGAATCCAGACCTTTTTAAAAGCAATCCACTGAGCTGGCTAGAACCAACTCTTGAAGGAATCAATTACACATTTTCACATCTCTTACTGTGAAGAAACCTTTCCATGTTTGGAGATTCAATTTCTTTTCCTAAAGAGTGCCCTCTTGTCCTCTGTGATGACCTCAAGGTGAATAACTCTACACCAAGTTCGCTATATGAACCACTGATGTATTTATACATGTTGATCATATCCCCCCTTTATCTACTCTTCTCAAGAGAGAGAATAAATTCAGTTCCTCTAATCTTCCCTCATAGCTAAGCTCCTCCATGACCTTTATCAGTTTGGTTGCCCTTCTCTGTACTTTCTTCAGTTCCCCATTGTTCTTTTTGTGAATTGGTTGCCAAAGCTGAACTGCATATTCCAGATGAGGTGTTACTAATGATTTGTATAAATTATATCTCTCTCTCTGGAGTCTATATCTCTTTTAATACCAGAGAGTATTTTGCTCGCTTTAGAAACAACAGCTTGGCATTGCATGCCATTATTAAGCTTGTGATCTACCAGAACTCCCAGATCCTTCTCCACCATTGATTCCCCCAGTTGTACCCCCCCCCCCCAGTATGTATGATGCATGCATATTCTTAGCCCCCAAGTGTATAACCTTACATTTATCAACATTAAACCTCATTTGCCACATAGTTGCCCAATTAAACAGTACATTGAGGTTGGCTTGCATGTTAGAGACATCCTGTAAGGACAATATTCCACTGCACAGCTTACTGTCATCTGCAAAGACTGAAATGGGATTTTTAATCCCAGACCCTATATCGTTTATAGATATATTAAAAAGTAAGGGTCCCAACACTGAACATTGGGGTACACCACTGACAACCCTAGACCATTCAGAGTATGAATCATTAATCACTACTCTCTGAATATGATCTTTTAGCCAGTTTTCTATCCATTTATATATGGATTTTTCCAAGCCTTTAGACTTTACTTTACACATTAGCTGTGTGTGGGGAACTGTGTCAAACGCTTTTACAAAATCCAAGTATACCACATCCACCGCCACCCCTCTGTCCAAGGTTTTTATCACCTCCTCATAAAAAGAAATCAGATTTGTTTGACATCTTGCGCTAATCCAGTGGTATTATGCCAGTCATTAAAAGTTCTCACCCCCTCTTTAACATTGGGAGGCCTATAACAAACTCCAATGATTACCTTTGTAGTACGCACCCCCATGTGCAGTTCCATCAAACTCTTCAAACTCTCCATCAACTAGGTCCTCTTTCACACTCGCTTCTCACGTAGAGACAGACACCACCACCTTTCCTTTTTACCCTGTCTCTCCGAAAGAGAATATAGCCAGGAACATTAATGGCCCAGTCATGTGAAGAATGAAGCCGAGATTCATCAATACCAATCAAATCATAGTTCTCTTCATGCACCAAAGCTTCCAACTCACCTATTTTGCTTGGCAGACTTCTGGCATTGGTGAATAAACACTTTAATTCATTGATACCTTGTACACAAATATTTTGTATATTTTTTAGTTTTTCATACAAATGGTACCAATTCCACTGGTTGTTTGTACCATGGGAACCTTCTTATCATCTGCCACAGCCCTCCCCCCATCTTTCCCCATTCCGTCTGATCCGTCTACCCCGTTATAATCTAATTCTCCCTCCCCCCTCCATCCTAGTTTAAATACTCCTCAAGCCTTCCCATAAACCTCTCCCTCAGCACAGCAGACTCCTTGTCAGTGACCACCGCGACGCATGAGTCTGCACATGCGTAGGTGTCCGACAAGACATGCAGGCAGGCGGGCACTAGGACCCAGGCGCACCTGTCACCTATGACGGCGCTGGGCAGGCACTAGGACTAGGAGCATGCGTTCCAATCACTGGAGCTGGAAGTGACGTCAGATCTGCAGACCCAGAAATAGTGGACGTGTCACTCTGCCTCTACATGTTTCGCTGAACTGGCATCCTCGGGAAGCTCCCTTATTCTGTACAATCTCTTCCCTCCCATAAAAAAAATGTGATAAACAAGATCTGGTATCCATCAATGGACAACCAAAGTGCAAAAATGGGTGAATGGCAGATTCATATAGCAACAAATGATGTTGCTCACAATATGCCTGTTTAAGAATGTTTTATTTGTGTGACATACATTTTAATTGTGGAAATCTAATTTTAAAAATATGATTTAACCACTTGACAACCGGGCTATAGCCGAATGATGGCTACAGTGTGGTTGTCCAGTTCTGGGAGGGCATCATATGACGTCCTCCCAGAATGCACCCTCCCGCATGCCCCCAGCGGTGCGCACCCAACAATCTCTGTGATCGCCGTGTCCTATGGACACAGCTGATCGCGTGATGTGGTAAAAGGCCAATCTCAGCATCCAATGACACAGCAGATCACCGGGTAAATGCAGTTGCTGGTTGTCGACTGCACTTTCCTCACTGATGATCAGTGTCCTGATGATCACTGCCCAGCAGTGCCACCCACCAGTGTCCCCCACCTGTGCCCAGCAGTGCCACCCTCAAGTGCCAAGCAGTGCCACCCACCAGTGCCCAGCAGTGCCACCCATCTGTGCCCATCAATGCCTAACAGTGCCACCCACCTGTGCCCAGCAGTGCCACCCACCAGTGCCTAGCAGTGCCACTCATCAGTGCCACCAGTCAGTGCCCAGCAATGCCACTAGTCAGTGCTGTCAGTCAGTGCCACCCATCAGTGCCACCTATAAGTGCCCATCAGTGCCACCTATCAGTGTCCATCAGTGCTGCATATGAGTGAAGCATCATCAGTGCCAGCTCATCAGTGCCACATATCAGTGCTGCCTATCTGTGCCACCTCCTCAGTGCCACCTATCAGTGTCCATCAGTACTGCCGATCAGTGCCCATCAGTACTGCCTATCAGTTCAGTCTCATCAGCACACATCATTGAAGGAGAAAAATTACCTGTTTGCTAAATTTATTTTTTTCAAATTCTTAGCTCTTTTTTTGTTTATAGTCAAAAAATAAAACACCCAGTGGCGATTAAATACCACCAAAAAAAAGCTTTATTTGTGTAAAACAAAAATGATAAAAATTTCATATGGGTACAGTGTTGCATGACGAAGCAAATGTCATTCAAAGTGCAACAGCGCTGACAGCTGAAAATTGGCCTGAGCATGAAAGTGGTATTTAGAATGCATTTGTTGGACAAATGTCACAAGCATTCATTCAGGCTGCTCAAGATTTCCCTGTATTTTCTCTTATACTGTGACTATGATAGTCAACTCCATCTAATGCCAAAATGCTCTATATTTTCTGAAATACCCCAGTCAGAAAATATACTTCATGTTGTCCACTAGATGGAATTGACAATCATAAGAAGTTATAGTATTAGAGACTAATACCAACAGACAAACTCCAAAAGCTCAACCTCAAAATCTCAGCTACAATGGTGGGGAGGGGGGAGTTAATTCTGTAATAATGTCCAAAGTTTTGGAATTGGATGGTCAACACGGTTATATAGGCGTAATGGTCAGGTTTCCCTAAACAATATTGTAATATACACTTACCAAACATACCAAGCATAGGTTTTTGTTCACCTCAAACACTGGAATGGGCAAGAAATGTGATTTAGTGATTTTGTCCATGGCTTGATTGTTGGTACCAGACAGGCAGGGTTGAGTATTTCCACTGCAGATATCCTTCAATTTCCACACACCACAATCTCTAGAATCTACTTATATTGGTGTGAAAAAAAAAATCAGGAGAGCGAAAGGTCTTTGGATGGAAACACCTTGCTAATGAGAGAGGTCAAGGGGTTATAGCCAGACGGGTTTGAGTTGATAGAAAGGCTACGGTAACTCAAATCACCACTTTTTGCATGTGCCTTGAACTTGGGTGGATGGGTTCCAACAGTAGACACTCATATCAGTTTCCACTCCCAGACTTAAAAATGTAGCCTACTCTGATGAAGTTTAGTTTCTTCTGATGCATGCAGATGGTTTGCCAGTTACCAGATCTAAAATTAAATGGAACCCATTTGGGTTGGGATTTTTGGGCTTGGGTCAATGATATGTCCATGCTTTAACACACACACATGTGAGAATAAATGTGTATACAGTATCTGAGCGAAAAAAAAAAAACTTATATAGTATATTTCTGCATTACTTCATATTTCCAGTGCAAGGATGTTAGGAACTCACTCAATTCTGGTAAATTAACAGGTATTTCCTGGAATTTCAGTATTTTGGAAAATTGCTAAAATTTTTGACAAAATGTACTAAATATTTTTTGTTTGTCTAGGCATACTTTTTAAATACTAAAGCTAAATACAAACTATAAGAAAATCGGGCAAACGATTGTCCAGTTTTCCTCAATGTTTCAAAACAAGTCAAACCCTAGGATGGCACTAATTATACGTAAACTTCTCGATTGACAAAGGCTTTTCTTTTGTTTGATGAAGAAACCTTGTAGCATAGATTATAATTGTTTGTTTCCAATCATGCACAAGCTTTCGTATTCGATTTTTCTTGTACAAAAGCAATACACATTAAATGAAAATCATTAGTTCTGCTCACGTACAAGAAAAATATGGGTGTCTGTCCATTCGAAAATTTCCGTTTTGAAAGTCTGATTTGAATGTCGAAATCAACTGATCCTCATATGGAATTTTTCACTTTCTGTAGCAAATTTAACTTTTCATGATAAAATGATACCTTTATGATTGTTATATATGTTCACGTCATTCACATATAGTTATCTCCTACTTACCCAGATCCATGGCCACCTTCAATATGCTACCTCTGTGTTGTGAATTTTTAAGATGCACCCAAGCCCATGGCTTCTTGTAGTGTTGACGTGGCAATCCATAGAACAGCAGAGTCTGCAGAGGAACGTCTTATCCTATAATGTATTGCTTTACTTATGTGCTGAATAGGGCAGGATTTCTCTGGGTGGCCATGCCTCTCATTATATCACTGCCTCTGTTTTGTTTCTCCCTCCATCCTCTGCTGTCACTCTCCCTCCAAGCTGGCTCAGGTGGTTTTGAAAGCGTTTAGACTGCCTACCTCTCCTGCCCACCTCTCTCCACCACAGTATGTTAGTGCACCCAGGAGGCACATATTTTCTGAACTCAGCTGGTCTTGCTTTCTTCACAAGACGTCTGACTGGATCCCTGTTGGAATCATTTGAAAATAAGGAATTTGATTGCTGTGATGGGCTTGGTCCTGCACCTGGCAATTTCTTGGAAAAGGATACTTCAATAGTTTAGGGTCACATATTTAAGCAGTTGAAGTGAAATAAGCCTTAAGCACCTTAAGGATTTACACACTTTAAGTACTGACCAAATCAGGTGTGTGTGACTTATCTTATTAGTACTGAATATATAAAGTTTGTCTCTTACTATGATACTGCTTGTCTTCTAACTCTATATCTCATTACCTGGCATGACCTTCTGCCTGACCATGACCCTCCTTTGCACATTTTTCTGGGAGGTACTGACTTAGGTCGTTATAGACCATCTAACCTTTATTTGGGAGACCATTGTTCATCAGATTCAATAACTAGTGCAGAACCTAGATCACCTGAGTAAGGAGCGTACACATTCAGTATAACACTGCAGTAGCAGTCTTCAAATATGAAAGGGTTGCCGACTCTTAGCTTCATTGCATTTTATGTACCAGAGGCCTCATTTGATCCAGTGCTGTGCCCGTCTGCAGCTCTTCTCTCCCTTCACTTCTTGGTTACTAAGGCTTTGTTGAGCTATGTCTGCCACTGCTGTCAATCAAAGCCAGTGACAACTCTATGTCAATATATGCAGACAACAAGGCTTGGGAGCAAGCATGCATGAGTACCCCATAGAAAGAGGCTTTCTATAGGGGCACTCAGCAGAGTGGTGGAGCCAGGAGTGCCAGCAGGAACAGGAGGTTTTGGGTTTCTGTGTGCAATTCCCTTGCGCACAGCAGGTAAATATAAACCTGTTTGTTATTGAGAAAAAAAATCAGCATTTACAATCACTTTAATTCCATTCATAAAATAGCAAGACTTATGAATGCATGTACAGGAAGGATTGAGGTAATGGTACCATTCCCAGAGTAGTTTTTTGTAGAGCTGTATTTAGAGCAGGCCACTGTCCACTCTGAACCCCCCCTGTTCAGATACTTCTAGTAGAAAGTTTGTGTTCTAGCAATAAACAGTAATGAATTACACTTTAGCAAGCACGCTCCTTTAATGTATGCCTGCATTATCACATTTTGTAAGTTGGAAATTTTGTTTACAACCATTTCATGAATGCACTGTGGTATATTTCTACAAAATATTTCCATTTTTTTTTTAATAGTTGCTATGGCAGGTAATTAAGTATTCTTGTTGGAGTGTTTGATTTCCAACACTCTTATTGGTTTATTACTTTCACCCTGGTGTTTGTATTATGACTTTTTAACTATGAAGAAAGAAAGTTACTTTCAATTCTATTTTCCCCTTGGTATTAGCATTCTATTTGAACTGCAAAATGTTTGGTTGCCAATTTTCAGTTTATTGATTCATTTTAGAAGAATATATGTAAACCATAATTATCTTCTGTGCATACTGTTGAAAATAAAATTTCAATAATTTATAATGAGGTCATTTTGGCAGTTTACACTTATTCTGAGTTCATTTAAAGGCTTACTTAAAGAATTTCATAACTGTTTTTGTAAATAAAATATATATATATACCTGTGTACATACATAGTCTTACATAGTCTAAAAAGGATATTGATATTGGATAAAGTAGAACAGTGTTTGAATCCCTGTCAGATTTTTATTGGTGTCTGTATCCTTAATTGGTGTCTGTTTGTTATGGTGACCATTTTCATTGGGACAACAAAGAGTGAGAAATCTCAATGAAGCACTTTTTTACTGAATTAAAAAGGGAAGAAGGAACATCAACTGGGTACATCAGTTTCAGTGGCAATAGTCCTAGAATTTTCTTTGAACTTCCTGTTGCATCTTTATTTTTTGCTGGAAAATTATTAGCAGAGGCCCAAGAGAATAAATGGTGGGTGCTGCAATTTTCTATTTCACACAGTATTTGCACATCAGTTTTTCAAACACAATTTTTTTTTTTTTACAAATGCATTTTAATGAGCTTTAGTGTACACAAAAACTATATTATAGCTAATTAGAAGAGTGGATAACGTGTGGCAGAAGCTTCTTACTTCTGACAGTTCAAACACGCCCCAAATGACCCCTTTTTGGAAAGTAGACCCCCAACTATTTTTCTGAGAGGCATGACGTGCATTTTTCACATCTAATTTGTTGCCACAAGTTTTTGGAAAATGAAGAAAGAAAACGAAAATGTATTCTCTCTTTTTTTTTTTCTTTTTCAAAACATTGTGACAAAAAATTATATCTGCAAAATGCTTACCATGCCTCTTATCAAATTCCTTTGGGTGTCTACTTTACAAAAAGGGGTTATTTGGGGAGTGGGGGGAGGCATTTCAGGGCCTCTGAAACTGTTAAATAGCGAGGAAGGGAAATGGGGAAGTATTTACGGCTTTTGAAAGCCTGAAGGCAGTCATTGCTTTTTTTGGCCCCGTATGCGGCTTGGCTCCCAAAAAGTCTCACACGTGTGATATCCCTATACTCAGGAGAAGCAGCAGAATGTATTTTGGGGTGTAATTCCACATATACCCATGGCATGTGTGAGCAATATATCATGTAAGTGACAACTTTGTGTAAAAAAAAAAAAAAACAAAAACATTTCTTCATCTCAGTGTAACCGCTGAAAGACCAGGACGTCATATAACATCCAACAGGGTGAAGATACATTCCAGTCAAAACTGAAAATCAAACCCTGTGAGGCATACAGAGAAATCAACCTACAGTGGTTTTAAAAGGTCTACACACCCCTATCAAAATGTCAGGTCTCTGTGATGTAAAAAA